TTGAGGTTTTGGCTTTTTTTTTTAATTTCTCCAAACTTTTGATTTTCTTTTTCGGAAAAATTTGACGTTTTTTTTATGTGCCGCCATATTAGTGGCAAGTTGGCACTACTTATGCCATTTATACATATATGTATGTATGTATGTATGTATGTATTTATGTATGTATACCATGCCAAGTCAAATTCAGGCGTGCTACATCAACAAATTAGTGTGAGCAATCACCAAAATGCCTTGATTGCATATATTCAAACATTTAGGACTTGATTGTACATTGAGCCCAACGATTAAGACTTTTGGTGCCGATCAAATAAATTATAAGGTTATGTTATTTTTCATCCCCGATCAGAAAAAAGCTCATTTTATTGATGGGATACAGATATGGTCATTACTTATATCCGTATTTTGTCAAGTTTGCATGAGATTATTATACATGACTATTATAACCTACCAATGAGGATGAAACTTTCTACTGCCAGGGATGGAGGGCAAATCTAGCCCTATACGTCCCACGTTGGTTGCTTTGAAAATCTTTCAAGAGACAATACATGCGCATTTAATGTATGCTATCCAATCGATTCCAATATTTTGTTCACTTATTGTAATAATAAAGATTGGAAGGCGTACAAAAAGGGTAAGAATTAATCGGAGCAAGCAATTGGTAGATCATTGACATCGTCGAGAAGCTAGTTAATATATAAACCCTTTTCAATTCCCAAGCGTCCAATGCATGGAATCTCTTCTCTTTCACTTTCGTAAGTTGTCCTGTTGTTCTGTTTCCACTACTTTGAACCCTCTTTGGAAAATAGTTGTTAAAATAAATTTGGTAGGCCATCAAATATGATAAAAAACAAAATATTTGTACGTATATACAAAATAGGTTGACCAGCAAGTTAGGCGCATCATTGACGCCATCAAAGAGACAATTAGAGATATGGAGTTCGAGCCATTAATAGTAAAGCAATCTATCAGAGATTCATTATTTAGCTACTGATTACGCATGCTTTGGTATACTTAATGAAATGTCAAAGAACGCGTTACCATACTAAGTCCATAGAGCTTCCCAGTCAAGTTTGGACATTATTGGGGGATAACTTCAGATATCATTGACTTGGACCAGTGTTGGTATGTAGAGATTAAAAGGAATTCTAAGAGAATATTCTATCTTTTAACGTATCTCCAAGGACTTCGTTTGAGTGGTGAAATGGGTTGATTTATCAAATCACAGCATCTTTTGCTTTGAATGATGTTGGAGGTCGTACCCGCCACACTCAAGGTGGAGTCTTACCCAATGTACCTGAACAGAATATGCCCTCATCAAGATTAATCAAGCCATAGTTCTGAATACCCAAAAATAGCAGCCCATTGATTTTTTGGCAGTTTTTTTTTATTTTCTCCAAATTTTTTATTTTCTTTTTTGGAAAAATTTGACCTTTATTTGACGTGCCGCCATATTAGCAGCAAGTCGGCGCTACATTTGCCAAATAACAGAATTCCCCATCAAATTATTCAAAATTCTGATCCTACTAATATTATTCAATACCTTGAAGGAAGAGTAACTATACAATTTTCCAGAAGAGTAACTATACAATTTTGCAAAATATCTGTTGATATTCCTAGAAGATCTTGTGACATTAGATCAATTCCTTCTTGGCATTCCACTTCTTCTCGAAGATCTGTAGATACTATTCTTAATATCCCTTTGAATAATCTAGAAGAAGCAACTGCAAGTGCTCCTCCTCTTCCAAACATCAGTGCTATAGATAGCAAGTCAAGAATTTCCAAGCCAGTTTATCAGCATACTCCAGATTTCCCACATCCAACTCCTTCTGAAATGGAAGATCGTGAAATCAACATTTTAGCATTAGCTTTTGAACCAGAAAAAATAATTTTAAATCAAGAATTTAATTCTTTTGAAAATAAACAGATCAGAGATTGGTTCTTCCAGAATTTTCGAAACCAAGCACTCAAAATCAAAAAAGAATATTATGATTACATGTACCAACATGAAGTCTAAGTATTCTTCTTTGATTGGTTTGAAAATGAATTTCTACAAGAAAAACAAATTCTTGTTTTAGATCAGTTTTATAAATGGTGGTTAGGCGATGGCCAAGTTGTCGAATCTAATCATCCTCCTCTTAGAAAAATTAAATTTGAACACTAAGAAACTGAAATAGTAGCTTCTCCATTTAAAACAGCTTTTGAAATAGATGGTATAGGAATCAAAAAAATTGTTGAACAAAATAATTTTTCAAATCAGCATCTTCATACTATAGGAAAACAATTAGACAGAATAGAAACTTCTGTTCAAAACAGTTTTCCATCCTCTTCAAAATCAACTTGTAAAAAGGATTTAAAACCACCTCTCTTCAATAATTTTGAAATTCCAAAAAATCCTAGTCTTGAATTTGCTAAAGCTTTAGAAGACAGGAGGAAACTCCTCAAAGGAAAAACAGTTTTAACATCCCGCCGCGGTCGTTAAGAATGCGACTCCCAGGATTCGTCGCCGACCCGTTACCATCGAATTAGAGAATATACGCGGAAGCCAAACGAAAACTCCATTCAACAAACATTCAAACGGGATAATAGAGAGAGACAATTTAAACAAACCAACAAACCACTTTATAAACTTAACGTCATATACAACGTAACATGTACAAGCCTTTCCAAAGGCCACAAACTCAGGCCACGCATACTCAAAAAGAGATAGGGTGGTCGATTTGCTCCACTACTCTAGTCAAACGAGGAGCTCCAAAAAGATAGGGATCTCTAACCCTATCAAAAACCTCCACAGCATCTTGGTGGTGTTCCATCCTCACCAACTGGGTAATACGTACCTCAATAAGTAATCAGGGTCGAGGGTCTGAAAATGTTTAACATCGGGGAATGAGATAAATCTCAATAAGTAAACTACCTAAACCTCGACTAGGGCAATACGTACCTCCGGCACTCTAATCATGCAATTCTAACCAATAGGGTAAGTTCCTATCCAACGAACAATGGTACCACATACTATGCGAAGTCTCGAATTGCATCACAACCATGGCAAACTATCAATATGCATAACAGCAATAATAATAATCCAGACATACTCGATCATTCACACAAGTCTCGATTATAAGATGAAATCATTTCGGCCCGTCCCATACCGTGCCTCACGATTTTATTCCATAATCAAGCGCAAAGCATGCCATATGCACATAACACTCGAAGTTATCCAGATTATTAACGATCCACCATAGGTCACACCGAGCTCCCGCCGGTCTTCCGGCATAGCCAGGCATCACCCACTACTTTGGGCGTGGTAACATCTGGGATCGAACCCCCCTCCCCCCCCCCCCCCCCCGACAAGTTGGGTACCGGACGGCATTCCATTTAGGAGCATCGATCCGGCCTCCACCGCAATCGGCAATGTCTAGGATCGAACCCCCCCGACAAGTCGGGTACCAGACAGCATCCGAACTTCCGCCGAGCATTGTCTAGAACTTGTCTTAGACGGAACTCATCATGGCCACACATGTAAACAACCACGCATTGCCAATTTTAATCTTCCTTAATTAGTCAATGCAAGTGTTTATGACGTGCAATGTACCATGAATAAATATGCCATGAATCGCACTCGTTTTCATATCAAACATAGATATATGATCACGATATGCCATGCCAAGCCAACAATAGCCATAATTAACCACATGATCCTCTTTTAAAATCCTACGATTATTCAACAAGTGCAAGATCAACTATGAACCATCAATTTCAACCATACAATCTTCGTTATAGGCCACAAAATCATCATTCCGACCACACGATCAAGCCATAGTCAACTACTCAGCCATGATTAAATAAATTAACCATACGATTAAACCATTTGACCATGCGATCGGCATTAAACAACTAATCCACCACACGATCGTCATTAAACCTTTAATCGGCACATAATCGACTAATTAGCCATGCGATTGTCAATCAAAGCCACACACGATCAACTTCAAATCTCTAATAAGCCATATGATTAAATTTTATCACATCCTAATTTAATCTAAACCGTAGGATCAAAATTAGCACATAATCATGATAATTAAGCCCTAAAATCAACCTTAACCAATCTAGAACCAATGGGGGCCATATGATCAATGTCCAAATCATCCAATTCAGCCTCTACCACATAATTACTGCAGCTACAAGACTAACCCACGAATTTAATTAAAACAACTACTAAACAATCATAATTAGCCAAATTAAGAACAATTAACAACATTAAACATATGCTCAAGCTCAAGTCACATAATCTACCTATCTTAACATTCAAATCAGCTACATAATCTGTGACATTCCGAATTTCAGCCCATTTTTGGGATTTATAAAACGTGTAATTCGTCAGTGTGCTTATAGTAGAATCTCGCCCGGGAACTGATCACTCTCGGTTATTATTTTTAAATTAGAGATTTTGTTAGAATCGCACTCGATCGAATTTGGCCGTTATTTAGAGCCCAAACTTTAGTGTCGAATTTCTCGGAGTTCCGGGACGAATTTAATTGGACGGTGTCGATATTATTGTGCCCAACATCGATATAGCTAGGAATAGTGAAAAAGTGAATTTTTTATCGGGTGCAGATTTAGACTAGTAGACCTCCCTCGGGGTAGTTTGATTTAATTAATTTGGCCTTTATCCCTTATTATATTCTAGGATTAATTTGGACAGTAGGATCGTTTTCAGATTTGAATTCCGGCCGTTGGATCGCACTCGATGCATTGACTTTCTCTCTCTCTCTCTTCTCCCCCTCTGCCGCGCTAGCTACGCGCACGTCTCCCCTGCGCTCACGTCCCTTCCTCCCCTAGCCATGCAGACTTCTCTCTCTCTCTCTCCTCCTTTTTCCCTTTTCTTTCCTTTCTCTTTTTTCTTTTCTTCTTCTTCTTCTCTTCTTCTTCCTCCTTCCTGCCCCCGACTATTGCTGCTTCTTGCTGGTTGCTCGCTGCTGCTCGCTGCTGCTCGTTGCCGCACCCTACCGCCGCCGCGCCGTCCTTTCTGCCCGTCGCTCGCCGGTCACTCGCCAGTCGCCACCGTCACCTCTGACTCCCCCGTTCTGGCCGAGCTCCCTCTTTCCCCTCCGGTGCGCGCCTCTTGCTCGCCGCCCAGCCACCGAGCACCACCGTCCAGTCGCCGCTCGCCGTCCGCCACCACCGCCGGCCGCGCCGCCGCCCCAACTCGCCCCGACGATCGCTTCTCTCTCTTTCTCCCTTCCCTTCGCGTCCGGTTGTTGCTCGAGCTCGTTGCTTCCGGCTGCCGCCGCGCCTGTCACGGCCCGGCGCTGCCCAGCCGGCTGTCCTGCCCCGCTCCACCGCCTGCGACGTCGTCGGCCCTGCCGCCCCCGCCGCCGACCCTCTTTTCCCCTGTGTTCCTCCTTCCCCGAGCTCCCCTTTTTCCTCCATCCTAGCTTGCCGTCGCCGCCGCACGCCGCCGTACCGGCCGCCGCAGCTTCCACCACCACCACCACCCAGCTCCCCCTGCCACCAGCCACCGCTGTGCTAGCCGCCTTGGCCGCCCGGCACCGTCGTCGCCCCTGATCGTCCTCGCCCGAGCCGACCACGAGCGCGGCCTTTCGCCCAAACCAACAACCGCTCGTCATCACCGTCGCCCACGTGCTTGCCAGCCAGCCAGCCTGGCCACTTGCCCAGCTTGCCGGCCAACCCACTCACCAGCCGCTCGCTTGGCCGCGCGCCCGCCAGCTCGCCCGGCCGTGGCCGAGCCGTTGCCCGAGCGTCCTGGGCCGTGGTCGAGCTCACCTAGCCCGCTGCCCAGCCGTGCTCGAGCCGTCCCAGCCGCTACCCGTTTCCACCATGCCCGTTGCGTCCTCGCCCGCGCCGAGTCACCGCCACTCCGACCGGGCCATTTTGGGCCATAGCCGATTTTTCCCGGGCTAAACTTAGGTAAGTGACTTCCTAAACTCTACCTAGTACTTGGGTATTTGTAGACTTGTTTAGGATGTGATTAGTACCGATTTAGGGGCTAAACGTGGATTATGGTCAATATTTGTATGTGCGTAATTGTTAGATTAAATTGAGATAATTGTGGGGCTTAATTGGTGGCTAATTATGGTGGGCTAAATGACTGTATTGTCGCGGTGTGTGTGGGGGAAATTGACGATTGATTGTGGCCGACTGGGATGTCGGATTGGTGAGCTCGTGGTTTGGAAATTTGGATGGTTTTGGGTGCATAGTAGTAGCTAATGTTGGTGGGTCTATGATTAACTTGTTGTGGCATTCGTGGGTGAATTTGATGTTCGTATGTGGCCGGCTTGAATGTCGGATTCGCGGGTTAGTGTGATGGACTTGTGATGTGATTTGGATTCGTACGACATGTTGAATGGCGAGTTATGATGTGGTGAGCATGCCTTGAGTTTAATTGGTACGACTTGTGAGAATGGCGAATTGTGTTATGGTGCATGTGTGTGAGAAAAGCCCGGATTGATCGGAAGGCTGAGCCTGAGACGTGTTTACGCGGGCTGTGGAAGGTGAGTTAGACCTAAGGCGTGGGTTACGCTGGTCATTGGAAAGGAAAAAATGTCCTGAGGCGTGGTTACGCGGGACGAAGCCCGGATTGATCGGAGGGCTGAGCCTGAGGCGTAGTAGCGCGGGCTGTGAGATTGGGCCTGAGGCGCAGTGGCGCGGGTCGTGAGAAAGATGTTCGGCCACGCATGCGAATTAAGTGTGTTTGAATTGGCTAGTTGAACATGTGATTGAATTGATTGGATTGATTGAGTGCAAGTGTGATTGGTATTTGAGTGATTGTGATATGTTATTGAGTTAATATTATTTCATTATCATGATTTGACTAATGTGCAATGTGGGCATGTGATTGGATGGCAAGGTAAGTCCATTGATGTGAATTATATATTTGTTATCGATTAGATTGCATGTTAAAACTTGTCTGGGTACGCATTGACCTAAGTGGGGTTTAGGGTGTTACTTATTGAGACTCGTTCTCACGGTTATTATATAACCATTTCAGATCCGCGACCGTGAGTGATTGGAGACGCTGCAAGGGTATCTCGGAGGTTGAGGACGGGTCAAGTACCCTATACTTTGAGTTTCCCCCTTTTTGTAGAGGAGTTAAGTTTATGAACCACTATCCCTTTTTGATGAATGTGGTCCTGTTGTTGGGGCCTAGCTTAGGGATTGTCTTTTTGTGAATGTTGTATGTATCTGCCTAGTGTGGGAATTACAGTTATTGTTTCTTGCTATTGCCATCCCTTGATCATGGTTAATTGTCTGGGTTGTCTATATTTCGCTTCCGCTTGCGTATTTCGTTTGGGTCGGCGATGCGTCCTGGGACGTTGCGTTCATTACGATCGTCGAAGGGGTGTCGCGAGCCGTCGGGGTTCGGGGCATGACATAATCATCAAATCCAGCTACCAACAAATCCTCAATTCAGCATCTACCATAACCCTTAAATTAACCCCTAAAATAACCCCTAAATTACCCTAACAACCCTTAAACACTATCCATTTGTAATCTACTAACCTAATCAAGGTTTAGGGAGTTACTTACCACTAATTTAAGCTAAGAACCAAGCCCAAACAGCAGCAGCAAGCCACGACCAGATCCGGAATTTCCGGCGAACGCCGGCGGCCAAACGGCGATCCGGCAAACGGCGGTTGATCCGAGCGTGAACGGCGGCTTGGGGGCGGCTCACGGTGGTCCACGGTGACCAAGGGACATGGGCTAAGGTGCTAGTGGGTGGTGGTGAGGCTCACGGCCAAGAAAGAGGAAGAGAGAGAGAGAGAGCAACGAAAAGTGAGGAGAGAGAGAGTGTGAGCTGAACATATCTCTCAAAAATGGAGAGCTAGGATGAGTCCTTGATGTCCAAGCAAAAATCCAAAGGCTAGGAATGCATCTTGACAAAAGGCTTCTAGAAGGGTATTTTTGTAATTAACCAAAAAGGGCAAGGGCAAAGTTGTCCAAGAGAATTTTCGGCCACTAGGGTAGGAATACCATTATGTCCTTCCACTCAACAAATATACCCTAGAACACACAGGGGCAAAATTGTCTTTTCCAATTTCCGAGCCAAATTTCCCTTTTTCGCGAATTTCTGAGCAAACCAATAATAAAGCGAGCTTAACGCGGCGTCGTCCAATATAATAATTTTGATATCCTTGAAAGTTCGATACCCAAGTTCGGATTCCAATTCGTGGCCAAAATCGATCAAACGCGACTTTCGTGTATCTCAAACTAACGGGCGGCTTTTAGGGTTTATGCGTGTCGACCCGTGGTTGATTTGATATCAATCCACGTTTAAGTTTACTCGAGCCATGGTGACTTCGGTTGTCATGTAATTACGAGAGTCAATCATTAGTTCCGAATGACACGATCGTTAGAAATTGATTTTGGAACGTTCGGAATGCATACAACGATTAAACAAAATCACCCGTAACTCGATTGTATAACATTTGTTAAATTGTTCCATAATCATTCTTGGATCGGCCTATAATGGTCCAAAATATTCCCTCGTTAATCCTTATGGTCGAAGTGTCGATCCAGGTTCGAGTTCTTGGGTCGTGCATCCCGAAATCCTAACTAGCCATTCCCTAACTGTTAGTATTCTCAAGAATGGCCAATTCCGAGTGAGATATAACAGAAAGTGCATTGATGATAATATCATTTCATAGATCTCGAAAGTGGCTCGAAATTAGAATGTCACACTTCTCCTTCTGATACAAACTTCCTTTTAATGCTTTCTGAGATAACAACCAGGAAATGGATTATCAATATTACTATAAAAATTAATAATGAATTTATTTTAGAAAACAAGAAGGAACATGATCTGTAAATTGCTGTATGGAGATGATGCACCAAGTCTTACCATAGAAAATGCTTGCCAAAGTATGTTCTCCTGAACTTTTGCAAACTAACTTGGCACATAGCCTAGTGGTGAGATAATTGAGTAGCGTGAGGACGTTTAGTTTTGGATATGGAATTCGATTCCTACGCTTTGCAAACATACAAAGTAAAAATCTAAGAGAGATGTGAGAATTAAAGTAGGACAGTTAAAAAAAAAACTCTAATTCCGTAGGTTTTCTCCATCATTTGGTGAAGAACAAGATGAATGAGTGGGGCTCACAGAGATCTTTTCCCTGATTTCTCAATCCCCACCCATCATGCTTCATAGCTTTCCAAACGAGGAGATGAAAAATCTTTCTTTTAGGTTTTCTTTGTTCTTATCTTGACTACTTTTGGATTGGGATATTGTGACATTGCCACGTCTTATTGTCTTCATATATTTGCAATCCTTATGGAATTTGGGTATATTTTCTATACATAAATGTTGCGTTTGCAATCAAATTGAAAACAAGAAAGAACATGATTTGTAAAATTGCTGTATCGAGATGATGCACCAAGTCTTACCATTGAAATACTTGTCAAAGTAACACTACAGAACTTTTAGATTAGAATTTGCTTCAGTAGTGTTGTTATTGATCTATGATGCTTCGCATGCTTGTTTCAAGGGATATTTTTTCGAAGATTCTAAATGAAGATGCAATAACAAGGGCATGGGAGGAATTACTAGCCAATTGCATATTAATTTATTATTTGCGAGTACTAATTTAGTAGCTAAGCTTCTTCGAGCATTTTGCCATCATAGATTAGTCCCAATCTCTTCATCAATATCATGCTTTCTGGCAAAGTTAAAGACAAACTCTTCAGCAGATGATGGCAAAATGATTGTAGAAGCTTAGCCACTGAAGTAGTACTCACAAACAATAAACTACTATGCGATTGGGTAGTAATTCCTCCCATGCCTTTGTTGTTGCATCTTCATCTGAATCTTCGAAAACAATATCCCTTGAAACAAGCATATGAAACATCATAGATCAATTACAATAAGACTAAAGAAATAATAATCTAAAATCTTAGTAGAACATACTTTGGCAAGCATTTTCTATGTTAAGAGTTGGGGCGTCGTCTGCATATAGCAATTTGCAGATCATATTCCTTCTTGATTCATTTTTTATTGTAAAGCAACATCTATGTACAGGACACGTGATACTTTCTCCTGCAGCAATCCTTAGCTTAAGTTTTTCTACAGCAACCTCATCTCTGCGATAGAGCAATTTTGCTACATAGTAGGGATGGTAGAAGTGGCTACAAGTAGCGGAAACACATTGGAAGACCTAACAACGAATTAGTGTCAGAAAACATATTCATATAACTAAGCTATAGAACAACCACAATCGACATATAACATCACTTGAGTAGAATTCTAGAAGCCTTTAGTCAAGTAAGGGGTCCAATGAATCCACGTCAAACCCAGAAAACTTGATGATTTATCATATTTTTGGTGTTAAATTTGCAAGCATGGAGAAGAATGAATGAGGGAGCTTATCTTAGTCACAAGAAAATATTAAGAAAAGCCACATCAGCATTTTTCATTAGCCAAGTTGGACGGAGTTAACAGGAGGACTCTATTACATCTGATGAGTTTTAGGACTTAATAATTTTATAATTCAATTGCACTTTTGTGATAAATTTTAGAACTTCCGTTGCATTTATCCCCTTTTTAAAATACTTTTGTCTGGCAGCGTGAAGACAAAGCATCGAGTCTTAAATTTTTTTGTAGATGAGAGTTATA